TCTCTGCTGTAGTAGTTGACATAATTCCCATAGTCATACCGTGGACGTGGGACATTTTCAGACGTTTCGCCGGCATCATTAGTGAGCCTTGCCATTCTCAGCACCAACCTAAAACTCGAAAAAAGGACAAGCAGAGTTGTGGCTTGGTGTTGATAATGGCAAGACTCACTGATGATGGCGACTATGATGCCGGGAAACGTCTGAAAATGTACCAAGTCCACGGTATGACTCTGGGAATTATGATAACTATTATAGCAGAGGACCTCGGACAAGGTGCGCCCAACTAAGTCAACCTGACAACAAGACCAATTTGCGAAAACGATGTCATCCAACTTCTTATTACAGAAAGTGGACGGCAAAGCTTAAGATAGAACCTTTACTGTACTTCATGACCTGCCCCTGAGTCTGCCCGACTAGATACATGGAATGGCCTAGGATTGGCTCAGCAACCGCCCTGACAAGTTGCCTCCGCAACTGGTCATCGCAGGCGAATAAAAGCAAAGAATCCTTATTCGGCATATATGAGAAAAGAGATACATTTACGTATAAGTGCTCTGAATAATATGAAAAATAATTGAACAAACCATTCTCTATTAATCTATTAGCATTTATACATTTTTGTTGTTAGTATACACAATATGCGGAATGGAACAAATTAGCCTTAGTAACTAACTTGAAACTTGCGCAGAGAGAGAGAGAGAGATTTCCAGCTCTGAGGATGTCTGTCAAGGGTCATGATGGAAGTGAGCTCAGCAATTTACACCCGAAATGAGGGAGGATATCTCGTGAATTGTGGCTACATGAACGTCGTATTAAGGCCAAACGATAGCAGAACAACGGGAAGTGGCAATCGTCTTACAATGAGGTCGACCTATAAATCTCCTCTTCAGAAACTCGCATAAGAAATTAAAGTCTTCACACTGATGGCATCTAAAGAGATTGATCGAAATCCAATTATGCTTCATACATGCCTAAATGCATACATATATTAATACATAAATGCATATATATCGAGTGACCTATCCCCGCACTTTCCCACTACAATGGTTAGTTTTGTTACATTACGTACG